TTTCAGAACGCTCGAACGCTGGAAATGGCGCCGGCCAGAAGCTCAGTTTGCGCACGAGCGAAGAAAATACTCAGCGCGAGCTCGTAGTTTGACTGCTGCAACGGGGGGCGTGCTTTCGCAATGCTCGATGTTCTTGCAGCCGCGTGTTCGCGCGCTACCTTCGCTGCATCTTGAATTGAAGTGAAACGGAGTCTAGAAGTACATTCTTTCACGCAGTCGCGTCTTCTGCGGGAGAAATTTGAGCTGAATAAGTAAACTGAGGCAACAAAGATCGACAAAGTTTTAAAGTTCTGTCAAAAATATCGGCTCACCAACGTCGCGCGTTTACGTAAAAAAGGTGTTAGTTTTAGTTGCAGTCTAAGCGAGCATCAGCGCAATTAATATAAATATAATTACTTACGCGGACGTTCTGAAATTGATAAACCGGCGCTCTCAGCCTTCCAGACACATTGGTTGCCACGGCTGAAACAGGCGTGCCCATGCCGCCAATCTGTACGTTCAATATCAAACGGGCTCCGGAGAGCCGTTTGATAAAACCGGTACAGTTTCCCGGTCACCGGTCACCCGTCTGTGCAACATGCATGGTCACCGGTTTGAGCAAACGTGCGACAACTTCGCCCGAACGAGTCGCCCATTTTCCCAGACGAGCGACGTTTGCCAAAGGAGTGACCAGTTTGTCCAAATAGGTAAACGTTATGGCTCATAACCCCTTTGAGCCACACGGGCGACCCCTTTGACAAACTGGTGACCGGTATGGCTAAACTGTTACCGGTATTGACCCGCTTACTTTCATATAGGCGCCTAATGTTGTTTTTTTAGGAGAGTTCTTTATTTTCTAATTTCGCGAATTCTAAAACTCATCCAATCAGCTCTTTCCTATCGCTTTTTTTTATTTGTACGATATTTATGCATTCTTGGTATTGAGGTTGCGAAATCCTTTTTTGCAGTCATGATTCGCCACTCGTGGCAAGTAGAAAAGCTTAAGTCAATTCAGAGGATTCAAGCAATCAAAACAGATATTAAGTTTTCTTTCTTCCTTTTTAAATTTTTGAAGGTTTGCTTAAGAGGCTGTTGTTTCAGATTTGATGAATAATCGAGAAGGTCAATTAAGACGTGTCCCTCTGCGCAGGACAATGGGAGTACAAAAATGCTAGGTGTCTGTCCGCACGCCAAAGCAATTGCGCCGCTAAAAGACGAGAAGGAGGGATCACGTGGGCGACGACGAAGTACAACCTGGAAAGACATTCTTTTTCATTCAATGATACACTGACACTTTGGCCGAGGTTTTTCTCTCCCTCGTCGCAGCGCATATGTTACTTGTTAGTTGACAATAACAATGTACCCCTTGAACTACCTTCAACTCCCCTCTCTGAAAAAGTAAAGTTCTGGTCAGTAAAAAAAAGAAAAAAAAACAAAAAACGACGGGTTTCTGAAAGCCGCAAAAAAGACACTGAAGCCATTTATGCTACTATAGTCACTGAAAACTTAAGAAACTCAAGGAGGGATTTGTTATGTTTGCGCTTTTTCACAAGCTAACGAGCTTACTGAATTCGGAGCGATTATAAAAGGTACAAAACTCGCTATCCCAAGCGTTTTTTTTAACTGCCAGTGACTCAGCAGTCGACGACGGAACTCGCCACCGTATTCTCAGCAAAGGAGAAAACACTTTTTTTTTTTTTCCCGCTCAGATTGGAGGATACAATGCGTGGAGACAGGAGAAAGCCTCTGTGTCGACCTACGGTGCCATGACATTACTATGCGGAGCGCACGTTCGTCTGCCTTTTTTTTTTTTTTTTTTGCAGGGTTTGTGGTGACGTGAGTACGTCGACGAGCTCTAAATTCCCTCGGATTGAAAGACAGTGGGTAGACCTCAAGCCACCTTGCTTTCAGGTCTACCCACTATCCTTCAATCAGAGCCAATCTGAGCTTGGTGTTCTGACGTCACCACAACTCCTGCAAAAGGAGCAGACGAACTTTCTCTCCGCTTAACTCTTAGCAAGGGGGAGGGAAACTTGCTCGCCGTATTACCTTCCAAATCGTAATTGTGACCAGATTAGGCCATCTATGGCGACGGTTTGGAACGTTTGAGATTGCCTTGCCTCGGAAGGCCCAAAATTAGGGAAGCGTATTTCGAAATTTTGTGCGGGAAAATTGTTTCATTGTTTGTTCGCGGGACAATTAGATGCAGTCGTCCTGAGCCAATCATCCGCCGTTGTTGTCAAAATTTTAGAGCGAAAATCATGTTTTTGGCGCGCTCGCCTCTTGTACTACATCTTTTTTTAACCAATTTTGTGGTACCGAGTATCGCGGCAGCAAAAAACAAAAACAATGAACAGTTACAATACTTTTAGGGCATCAGGCCGTTTAGCACACCAGCGTTGATAATGTCTCATTAGATTTTATTTGAATGCAAGCATTACTAGCCACATCAACGGCAAAAATCTGCCATCTGACAGGGCCACGTGATTATCTGATTGTAACAATCGTTAACAACGCATTTGACGAATTATATCATCGACATATCTCCTGGCCACGGTGTGCTCCTGGGTCATTACGTTGCAAGATAACGGACAAACCAAATTTCTTTTAGAATAAGTGTGCAAATATGGTTGGTTCTAGTGAGTAATGTCACTAAATAAAGATTCTACGCGAATTTTACTAACAGGTGGGAAACTTATATTACTATTTTGAGTTAGCATGATTTAACTGGAAGAATTCGTGGGAAAATGCAGAAACATTGAATAAAAAAAAATGTTTTGTGATCCCTGTGCCGGCTTGCCTCAGCTGAGACTTGAGAAAAAAAAAGCACTGCCAACGCCAGCGGACGGGCTGAGCGGGACTCAAAACGCGTCTCAGGACGCTGGCGCACCCCATCCTTTGCATTGCTTTCTTCACCCAGTCTTGGCTGAGACGCTGTTCTAGCAAACTGGCCCTGGTGATGCGGCTGAAGTTCGTGCACTCCTGTCACTAACAAAATACGTCTGTAAAAATTAAAAGAAGAACACTGGGCACTTCAAATGTTGACATTTTTTACAAGTTTTACCCCATGCTAATTTTTGCCTGAGAAATAGCAGGACGACACGAGCGAAGAGAAGCGCTTCGCACAAGGTAGCAGCACCCCGTAGTTTGCTACCTGTAGTGTGACAAATTACAAAACATATCAGTCTAACAAATACTAGAATATCCGAAAAAAAGACCCCTACACAAGTTGTGAAACAAAGCTTTCTTTCATTTTTTTTATCTGTATGTAGAACTGAAAAGCGTTCAGATATTTTTCGCATCGCATTTGACGATGGGTCAAGATAAGTCGGTTACATTTAGGATTCTGTGTTTTCGGCGTTCGTTTGTCGTGAAATTCGGAGGGTGTTATTTCGGTGTTTATTTTTCGGTGAAATTTCGGGGTTTATCGAAGCTGGTTTTTGCTAGAGTTTCGATTCTTTAAAATTAGTAGTTTATTTTACTGTGTTCTTATATAAAAATGAAAATAGAAAAATAAAATCCGGGTACCATGACCTGTTGTCTTGACGTGGTAGCAGGCAAATCCCTTTTGCTAATAGTTATAGATTTAAAAGAAAACTTAAGTGGCATGACCTCAGGACCTGCGACCCGGTGCTCTATGAAGTGTGTTTACAAAACAGCGTCTTTTTGCTTTTGTTTTTTAATCTTCTGACCTCGAAATTCGGAGCGTTTTGGGTATATTCGAACTGACAGAAAAGTTACCGGCGAAAGGTTTTTCCTGTTTTTCTTTCATATTGGTCCCAAAACAGGGACATCTATAGTTATATCTCAGCTCACTCTATTTAAACAATATCTCCTCTATGCACCATATAAGCATCCGACGTTTCGCTAAAAGTAGTGTTCGGGAAAGTACCTGAAAAGCACTTGAATTAAAGTACGAAGTTCATCAAGTGATGTAGTAAGTACACCGGGCACGATGTACTTTAGGTGAACTACTATATATGCAATGTGTGTTCAAAGCAGACTACAAGAACTTTTAGTACAATCTGTGTTTAGGTCTCTTCCTATTTTTCCCGCTAAATGAATACTTAAAACAGTAAGCTCGTTACCGCTATTATGTTATTTATGATGCCCGTTCATTTTCCTGTGCATTGTTTTTAAACGGGTATGCATTGCTACATCGGTTAATCGGATAACATCAAGTAGCCACACTGTAGATATTTTGCTCTCGTTGACGAACAGTTGAACTCAATAAACTTGTAAGACACTTACCTGTTCACAAAGCATCATTCTATGATTCAAAAACAATACAAAAGTATGGAAATTTACTTTGAAGCCGGTAGTTGTGCTTTCCTAAACAAAAGCACCGTAAACGTACTTAAGTTGAAGTACAAAAAGTACAAGTTTTCTTTTTCTAAGCGTACTTAAAATATTACTTGAAGTGCAAAGCACTAAACGTACTTCCCGACATTGGCTAAAAGTCTGAATAGGTTTATCACAGTCAGCGACTGGAAGGCGTTTTAAGATATTAGAGGGTTTGCACTTAAGTTATATACTTTTTTTCACAAGAAGGTACCCCCCCCCTCCCCCCCAAGGGCTGGATACAAAATCACATCGGCAAAGTCACAATCACACCCTAATTAATATTACTCACCCAAGTTTTTCTTATTACCGTGTTCGACACCGTTGATTACAACCTGATAAAAGCTTCTGCATTTTTATTCAGCAGAAAGGAAGGGGTGGAGGGCACTGTCATGTATTTCCTTCCTAACCGAACACCTGCTGAGGAGCATACCATTTCTCAACCAGAGTTATAAAGAAGAAGCATAAAGAGGTGCCCTCATCTCACTCTGTTCCGGCACTAACGAACTGCGACTTGAGTCAATGAGAACATCCTGCCAATTGTACTCCCCTTTGAAGGGCCCCTAGGATCGTGTTCCTGATTGCGTTTCCCCTCCTTTTTTTTCCCAACTCTTCGCCTCTTCCCTTTCTTCCCCTCCCCTGGCGACTGCACCCTGGGGGCCCTCGGCGTGACGCCGCAGCCGTGCCGGGTATCCGTAACGAGAAAGAGTATGCCTGCTGTCCGGAGCCGTACATCGACATCACGTACACGATACACATCCGGAGGCGGACTCTGTACTACGGCTTCAATCTCATCATCCCCTGCGTGCTCATCTCCTCCATGACCCTCCTCGGGTTCACCCTGCCTCCCGACACTGGAGAGAGGCTCACCCTGGGTAAGTTCCCACTTTTCCTTGCTCCCCTATTTTTGGTGGGAGCGGAAATCCGTCGTTGTCGACTGGTTTCCCGGTTCACTGACGGTTAAGCTCCCCAGATTCTCGTAAAGGCAACCGTGCTTATAATCATAAACAACAAAATATACGAAAGGTAAAATATAAATGGGTACTGGATTAATGCCTCTTTGACAAAAACGTAAAAATAAAATCATTGTAAGAAAAAAAATTCAGTTAATTAGTTTAAAAGGGTGGCAAAAAAAGCTTCGGATATCTGGCTCTTCCAGCCTACGTTTCTTTAGATTCCTTAGAGCAGTGGTCGGCAACCTTTTGGCGAAGCGGGCCGAGTCGCCGCTAAGCCAAGGCGGAACGGGCCGGACGGCAAGCAGGGGGGAGGGGGGGAGGGTATAAAATTGAAAAAGCACTTGCACGAACTTACATTGACGTGCATAAATCGAAAATGAACAGTTTCTCTATTTCACGACGAACAACATGAGATACGACATTTCCACGAAGACCTAGAGACCTATCTCAGTGAAACTTTTGGTGTTGAACTCCGCTCGCCAAACTACGAACATCCACACTGAAGCTGCTCACTGCGAGTCGCAAATCATTGTGGAGGTTCTCGTCAGTCATTCGTGAGCGGAAGTTGGATTTTTTGCACTTCATTCGTGAAAACGTCTGCTCGCAGACGGGCAGCGAATTAGACAACTTTATTTTATTTTTTTTGTTTTGTTTCTTGAGCTGACTGCGTAGGGGGGAGGGGGGGGTTGCCGGGAGGCTGAGGGCCGTATGATACTACCTCGCGGGCCGGATCCGGCCCGCGGGCCGCTAGTTGTCGACCACTGCAGGCTTAGAGAAACATCAGCGGCCAATCTGCACCCTCCAGGGAACATCACAAGACGTCGCAGTGGCAACAGCGTTATTAAATGCAGTAACCGTGGGCTGTGAAGTCATGGAGTGACGTCACGTCACGCTACAAGAGTGCGTTACGTCAGGTTACCTAGCGTAACTTCACGTGACGCCACCACTTCACACAGTGATATTAGGTTGCCATACTGCACTGATTTGCGTATAGTGTATCGGCAAGACATTCCACATACCGGAACGCTTATCTGGTAGATCGAAGGAGCGCTATCATTTTTAAGGCTTCCCTTTCCTGGGCCGAAGCTCTCTTTTATACGAAATTGCTAATGTGAAGTCAACCTTTATGTGTGTGTATGGACTGGCACTTACATATGATCAAGTAACAATAATGACCACATTTCATCAGAAAAATCGATTCTTTCCAGAACGGCCTTCGGCCTGAGCCTTTTTTCACAATCTCGCAGTGTAAGATATGAAAATGTATATTAGGCTCACACTACTCATATAAAATTTCATATTTGTCTGCCAAGCAATATGCCTTGGAGGTATATGTTTTTCGACCAAATTGAACTGCTCTTCGAATGTCTTTTACTGCTACTTAAAACAAAGTTCAGCCAGCGATTGGAGGAACTTAAATTGAAAACGTATGAGTCCTACGTGCCTACTAAAATCAGATATGCTTAAAGAAACCAGCGACCAAATGAAGCTACAGAACTGCCATACTTTCCGGCCACACTTTTATTATTTTTTTGCCTCAAGAAACGTTTGCGATTTTAAAGATTTTTAAATGAAAACAATATTCGACATAAAAAAAAGGAGCAAATGTTCTTTTCTTAGTAAGGACAAAATGAAACCGCGAAACTTCGGGCTGTGGAAAAACAAACAAAAAAAAAAAAAAAAAACGAGAAGGTAACTTTAAAGAAAGAGAAAGAGAAGGCGCATTTGTGCTCACATCAAAACCACGCGCGCTCAAAAAGCTTCCTTGCTCCAGAAAGCCTTTCCCCAATCTATGACCAAAGCTGAACCTTTTAAAGCATCGATAGGCAAAGAGCGCGGCAAATACATATAGCTTAAAACAACACAGATCCGCGTGCATACAAAGCAAGTCGGGACCCGTTGAAACCAAGTGCTCCAGCCCACTCCCCGTCAGCGCCCCTTTAGGTCACAATGTGCAGCATAAAAGTAAAGACGGGCGCGTAGCTTTCATGTCTTCAATACAAACGCTCGAACGAGACGTGAAGTGTAACGAAGCTAAGCGAAAAAGTGCCGGGGGAGTAAAGATACATTTTCAATTTCCTGAATACATTCCGCGACCGGGGGATCTTCACCAACGCGTTCGATATCTTGTGCTTAGAGTTGACTTGAACTGGTGGAGAAACAACGCGCGTTGCGTATTCACCTTTATTTTTTTTCAAAAGGGATGTTTTTCTACTTATTTTTTGTGTCCTGACTTTGCGACTTTAGTGTTTCGCGATGTGCAAAGAAAAATAACATCGATACCTCAGCCAACAAAAGCATAGAAATCTCGACGCAGTTCGATACCCCTGAACGCAGGAGAACAAAATGAATACAATAAAAACGAGGCTTGCAACTCAGACTAGAAGAAAATCGTAGCTCTATCCGGATTCCAAGCCTTCCCAGGGGAATATTCAAAGACCTAGATTATTAGGTTAAAATGTGGTACTCCAAGAAATGCGAATACAAAACAAATTATAAAGAGGTAATGATATAATTGATAACGCGACGTCACAGTACACGACAGAACGGTACGGTCAGAGGAACAAGAATCTACAGGCACCTTGGTCAGTCGCTTTGTTATTTTGGCGACGTAACATTTTAAGCTTTTTGCTACATGTACCCTTTCTGTTTCCCTTTAGATTGTATTGCGCAGTTTTTTTGTGTTCAATTGTTGTATTTCGCGTAATAAAACATTTGAGCATCGTAAAAAAATAGTATCTGGGAGCTTAGCTCCTTAACGTATTCGCACCGCAGATTGCTGTACTTGGAGCGAAAACCCACGCTGCAGGACCAAGGCATCTTGAGCTCAATCTCCACCCCTGTCCGTTTAGATCTTAATGAGAATCGTTCCGGCGTGCGGTGCTCCGATCACTGATGCATGAGTACACACCGAAGACTCCAGACTAGGAGTCGTACTGCACTGGCTAATTGTATCTTCTATAGCGTGGACCATTGTCGTCATACATGCACAGACCGACCTCACGTTCTCCAAACAAACAACGATTTGGCTTCTCTGCTTTGTTATCAAACAGCACACTGTGTGCTCTGCGATTGCGGTTGACCAACAAGAATTTATATTAGTTTCTTTTATTTTTTGCATTTAAGACATGCATATTAAATGTAACGTGGTGAAGTCTGTCAGCAACAAGCTACAACTCCAACGAGCCAGTATTAAATTTCAAGCGTGAGATTAACCCACGAAATACCTTAAAACGTTTTTTCTTTCTTCGTATACCACTTCAATACCAATGTCGATGACTCCAAACATTCATCTATCTGGGCAACAACACGTTTGAGCAATCGCAAAGTTACCCTAACAAAGCCTAGGTCCGAAACTAAACAATAAAAACAAAACTTAGAAGAATACAGAAACTGACAAAGGTTTGACGGCAAACATCGAAAGGCCATCAAGTCTTGACCAAGTCTCCAAATCTGTCGGCCGATCCCAAAAGCGTAGCAACAGCTGGTCGGTCCGAACTGGGAGAAGTCGTAAAAAAGAGTGGAGCAGGCAACAAAAAGACCTGGCTTCCTCTATAAAGCTAAATGAACCCAAGATCACACAAAGAAGGCAGAGAGGTGATCTGGCAGAGCTCCGTTTATCGACCACTCTCTCTCGTTCACCTGACTCGTGGATTTCGGAGGGCTAGGAGGTTTTGGAGGAACGCCGAATGGCGGAGCCGCTGCACTCGAGTATAAACCGCCCAAGGCGTTGTCTTCCTGCCACACGAAAGAAAAAAAGAGAGTCCCCCCGCAATTCCGTGTAAACTGGCCAACGACTTCGACGTCACACAGCTAAACTCCCAAAGATGAGGGTCCGAACAAAGAGAACAGAATAGGATTCTAGATCGAGATGCTTACGAAGGTATATCTATAGTCTTTATATACCATTTCAACTTAGAGACCGGCCGCAGCCAAATGCTAGCGTCCGACAGAGCTAATCAAGCAGCGCCAAAAGTGAACCACCATGGCGACGTCAGCCTAACCAATCACGCTCAAAGAAAAAAGGCTGAGGGGTCATGCGGTTTTTACTGCACGTGATTGATTTGATCTGGGATAGCAAACTCGCAAAAAAGAGAGTAACGAGCCACATGCACCTCATTATCACCTCACAGCCAATGGGATTGCAGCATTATACCCAATATGAACGCCGACGGACCAATCACAAAGCAAGAGGCGTGATTAACATAAGAAGACGCGCCCTGCTTTTTTTATAAGCTGTCAGTGACTAAGTATTTTTCTTTTCGCATATTCAGGTGTGGACGAGCGGTACTAGACGGGTTATAATATCGACGCGTTCTGTCTCTTCGATGAGAATGTCGCGAACTATTCTCGTTTTTTTCTTTTCCCGCGCATCAAATCTATAAGATTATTGATTAGCCGCTTAAAAAGGCACATCATTGAGGGCGGATGTCCAGGATTCGGTTGCGTCATAAGCTGTTTTTTTCTTCTCTTTTTTTATGAGGAGGCTAAAAAACCGATTTATACATGATTTAAAAGAAAAAATCCGCTAACGGGCGCGGTCGTGAAGCGCAGCTTTTGTTAATTTAATGCCCTTCCGGGGCACGAATCGCGTTTCGGGTGCTTTTAATCCCTAGCATAATTCTCTTGTTTCGTCGCCAATTATCACGCCACTCCTATTAATACCTTTCGTTCCCTGGTCTACAAGATACAAGGTCCCTGAGGAGATATAATTTTAATGAGTAAGATTCGGAATAGACGAAATCAAAAGCGGGTGAAAACAAAATTTCGGCGTTCCCGTGATGATGTCATTGTCTCGATAGTCTCAGACACCTCGTATTATAGGCGTAAAACCGCAGAACGCCCATGTTTATTTGAAAAAAGTAGCACCAGAAAGTACGCTGTACGGATTTCTTAGTTTAACTTCCTCAACATCTCAACATCCTCAAGAAAGATGTTATAAGTGTTGGCACGAGCGATGTCTAAACGCCGTTATAACCATTACAGTCAACTCACGCTTGATTAAAATAAAAAGAAGCAAAATTCTGTGATAACTTTTTTTTTAAATTTTTACTCTTATGAAAAACAAAAGTATCTCAATCATATGTATAGCATACGATCGAAATTTTAAAAGCTTCCCCAGAGAAATTAACAGCGGCGCACGGAGACACCGAAGAGCACTTTGACATCACGAGTGGTAGCTTGTTAAACATAAACCTTAGGATTTAACACTTTCCGTGTAGATATATTTAATGGCCCGCTGGCAAGGAAAAATATTTCCGAGAAAAGTTACATTCTATTTTTTTTCTCACTTTTATTTTAACGTATGTTTCAGCGAACATCGGTCATACTTTTCCCGCGAAGACTACCCTTAGAAGAGGCAAACGATTGGTGTTTTATTAGTCACTGTTTAGTGTGGTGCGTAGAGATTCAGACAAATGAAATTTTTAATTACCACTGTATAATTATCTTGGGTTGCCAAAGGCATGGTAGCGCTTTTTTGGACGAGGACAAAAGAAAGAAAGACAAGACAGACACGAGCGCTGTCTGTCTTCTCTTTCTTTCTTTTGTCCTCGTCCAAAAAAGCGCTACCATGCCTTATGCAACCCAAGACCAATTACAACTAGCCCAGCATACAGCTTTAATAAGTATAATTATCATTTTTTTGTTAGTAAATATGAACCTACGGCACAAATTAGAAACTTGGTCAGTGCCACCGGAAACGACCTAATCAGTCAATTTAAGAAATACTTGAAAGGCGAGGAAGGCGTGGTGGTGATCAAAAATTGCAGTGTGTGCTGCAGGAGCAAGGATGGCGAAGCGAACGTGCGGGTGATGAGAAACAGAAAAAATCATGCTAGGGTATCAAAATTGAAACCTATTTCAAGAACTCGAAACACAGTGCAGGCGCTACAAATGTTGCTTATTTGACCGATTTCGCAGCTTTCGACGATTCTTCTAAGTTTCTAATTCAACCAATATGTTCATTTTCGGTAACAAAAATACGCTGATCATAGAAATTTGATTACAACCTTAGTTATCCTAAACACTTTGCACCTCAATAAACAGCCCTATTGACATTGACCCTCACGGCACGTATCTTATTCCTGTGCAATGGGTAGTTTTCACCCAAACAATATTTTGACCTATGTTCGGTTAGACACCCGGTATAATATGTGAGTGCCATCGCCTCTGACAGAAAGAAGCTCAAAAGAGGCCTACATTGTATGTAACAAAAATATTGGTAGGCTTCCGTTTGCCCTAAACTAGTTTAAAGGCTACATGGGCCGCATTTACGACATATTTAGTTTTTTCCGCTGATTTGCAAACTTACGGTAAAGCTCCTTGCTGAAGGTACTAACTTCCGTCTATACAATAAGCAATTAAAATGCAGATGGGAGAAAAGATTGCATTTCAACATATAGCTATCGTTGAAGTAGCTTAAGGTCCCGAACGAACGCCCATTTTCGAAATCTTGCCTTCCTCATACATTTTCCCTTTTTTTTTCACTATGGGTGGGCGCTTATTCGGGATTTTACGGTAGTAGTTACGCTACTATTTCCTCAACCGTGAACTGTGAGGTTTGTGCTTTTTGCGCGTGCTAACACGACATTCCTTTCAGGGGTGACGATAGTGAGGTACGTATCATAGACATCGGTCCTCACCCGAGGTGTCCTCCCGCAAACACGCGCACAGGTGTAACCATTCTGCTGTCCTTGACGGTGTTCATGCTGCAGCTTGCCGAGACCATGCCTCCCACATCGGACGCCGTGTCCATTATAGGTGCGCCGACTGACTCGTCCACCATTCCTCGGGGTTCGCTGCTCGTCCTATCACCGTGCTACCCGGCTGCCTTCACTTTTGACATGATTGTTTCATGGCTCATTTGAGTTTTGATGTTGGCGGTGTGTGTTTGTTCTTCATGTTTGAAGCGTTTCGTTGTACAAGCCCATTTCATGTCTGCGTAGCTGTGGATGCTTTGCCCTTAGAAATGCATTGTGTTCTTATTTTTATATTGTTCAAACGCCTAGAACTCCTAAGTTGTTGGTATTCAGTAAGTTTTTAAAGGTTCCCGAGTCCGCACTTCACTGAAGAAGACAGAGGTGTCAAAAACCTAACGCCCTTAGAGTAAACAGAAGCAGTGATGAAGTGATACTTCCGATGCGAAATTCAACCCTATTTGAAATAAAGGGTACAAATGTAATCATGAGCAGGACAAAACGATAGAAGAGTCATTTCAAGTAGTATATGATAATTGTCCGTCTCAAGTCTTCTTTGTGATCGACTGAAACCCAACGGATCTGGACTTTGGAAATCGCATCCAAATAGACGTAGTATTTATTTAGATGGTATTTTAATGAGGAGTATTAGAAAGGCAGGTTTTTCGGGGGGAAACACTCCAGTCTCGATTTCTCGTTCAGCAGTATTAAAAGGCCACGGTCTACTTTGGGCGATTTAAAAATACGTCGCTCTTACATTAGGCGCGTCGTAGTTTAAACTCTAATATAGGGTGATTTAATGAGGAATGATTAGATACAGGATGAATAGTAGGGGTGACATTCGTCCTGGAACAGTCCGAGCTCTCTGAATGCTCGTCGAGCGCGCGCCACTCTGCGGTACCACTTCTTCTTCCTAACAATATATATATATATATATATATATATATATATATATATATATATATATATATATATATATATATATATATATATATATATATATATATATATATATATATATATATATATATATATTTATTTATTTATTTATTTATTTATTTATTTATTTTTTCGAACGCTGAGGAATTTGTGAAATGCGACGTTGCAACACAAATAATCATAACGTTCCTGGTACGGTGAACCATTGCAAAACAAGAAATAGCTGTTCTGAGGTCAGAGCATTCCCACGGAGATCGTTCAATGTCTACGTCTCGTTCAGTACCACACACACACACACACACAGACACACACACACACACAACAGCCGAATTCAGACGTAGCAACCCTTTCCTGCGGGGCACCGAGAGGGCCGTCGATTCCCGTGAGAGGTTGCGCAGGTGCAACGCGACCGACTATTCTACCTCCAGAAAATTCCCACGGGGAGGTTACATTTAAGGTTAGGCTCAAAGGGAAATGAAATTCCGCTTTAGGAATACTTTTGTGCCACGGTCCGGTTTTCTAGACACTTGGCCGTTCCTAAATTTGCATTGTGGGTTAGGAAATTTGTTTTAAACATACAAACGTCGTACACGAAGGTAACTTGACGGCTGCCGATTGAGACAGTCCCTCTAATCCTGCAGAATGTTCTACTGCATTATGTTCCGCCACAGTAATTGCTGTCTATACTCCGTTTCAAGCTAGTAGAGAGCAGCCGAAGGTATACGAACACTTGAAACCAATCAAGCAGAGTCGAAAATGCACCTTCACGGCGCTTGTCGTTTTTGTGTGGTTGCGACCAGCTAAACCAATCAGGAATTAGTGCTTTCGACCGGCTAAGCCAATCAAAAATTTGCGCTTGTGACCGGCTAAACCATTGTGGAATTAGTCCTTGCGACCGGCTAAACCAAGCAGGAATTAGTACTTGCGACCGGCTAAACCAATCAGGACTTAGTGCTTGCGACCGGCTGAACCAATCATGAATTAGTGCTTGCGACCGGCTAAACTAATAAGGAATTAGAGCTTGCGACCTTCTAAACTAATCAGGAATTAGTGCTTGCGACCGCCTGAACTAATAAGGATTTAGAGCTTGCGACCAGCTAAACTAGTCAAAAGAAAGCCAAGGACCACGGCGCGTTCACTGTTTTCGTGACTCGTTTAACCCGTCATCACAAACCACAAAGACGACGAGCGCTTTTTTTTTTCTTGTTCCGAAGTTGCACGAGCAGTCATGTGATTTGACGGAAAGCCGTTACCCGCTTTTGCAGGGGTCACCATTCTTCTGTCGTTGATGGTCTTCGTGCTGATCATATGCGACAAAACGCCAGTCACATCAGACGTCCTGCCGCTCTTAGGTGCGAGTCAGTGTCGTCCTGTGAGCTTCCGCGTTTAACTTTTTCTTTTTTTTTCTTTTTTCTTTTTGTCTGTTTGTTCTGGAGCGAAGTTTTGAGTGTATGCACTGTGCAGATCGCATCACGTATTTCGAGCCGAGTGTTCGCTCGCTGTACTAATTTCTTTTTCTTGAGGTATTTTTTACTTGTGATACTCCTGCCTGCGTCCTTCCTTTCCCTACGTGCACTTTAAATCTTAATTACGATAAATTCGCGTCAGTACTCGATTAAACTATAGTTCTAAATAATACGAGCTCCAAAAAAGTACTTATTTCTACTTTCAATTATGACTTTAATTTTGAAGAGTTGTACTTATAATTTCAATTATAACACTGCTTATGCATTTACTTTTTAGGTGCCGAGGTAGCGTTCATGACTGTGTTGTAATAGCCGATGTCAACTTGATCTTTTTTTTTGGTGCTAATCTATCAGTTAAAAAAATTATATAATGGGCCGATTATTTTCAGTGAAATATCTATTTACGCTCCCAGGTGTACATAGTTTCCAGTGACACTTGGTGTGCTTTTTGGGCCCGACATTTGACTTTCTGTATACGTAAACGTTTGCTAAAGTGCATGCTCCTAACCGTAACATGAAATCTTTCCCGTAGTTTCCAAAGAAAGGATATACAAACAAATGGCAGTAAATAGCCATATTAGGCTAGTTACCTAAAATGAAAAACAGTTTTTAAAGAATTTCTTTTAGTTTACTGGCTTTTATTAGAACGCCATACTCCAAGCCATCCATGCAATTTTTGTGGGGATAAGATCTAAAGTATGAATTAATGCCAAGAGCTCCTAAGTACTTAGCAGTTCGATTTAAGTGCCTTGTTGTGTTATTTTCATTCAAATAATATGGCGCTCCTTAAAAAGTGCAACAATTTGTTCCATATTTAATACTGAAAACTCTGCCACTTTACGCTGTAGAAAAAAGTACACTGGTATTCTATAGCAAAAAGGTAAAGCGCGAGGTTAAATATCTATTTTTGCCTACCGGGAAATTTTTGGCATATCACTCTTCATTCGGAAAATTTAAGACAATAATATGCAAGCCTCAAATTGTGCACAGAGCATAAGCTCAATACTTTCAAACACGTGGCTCCATGTCGCTCTTTGACCAATTCTCATCCACTGCACAGAAATTGCCGATTGATGCCGACTAAAAAATATTCTCGGTAATTTAATATAACCGATGCGTTAGCATAAATGAACATGGTTATGTAAATATAATATATTTGACTGACTCAATGAGAAAAAACACCAACCTTGTGAGTTAAAGGCCTTGGTTTTAAGAATTCACGCTTGGAGAGGTTCATTCAATGTAAACCAGGCTTTTGTGGCGTGCTTCGCTCACTTGTAAATTCCTGCTTTAAATTTATCTAAACTTCGACGACCTCATCCAACAAAACTTCTTTGAGAATTTTTTTTCTTATCCTTCAGCTCAATAGGTAGAAGTGTACGGCACCCAACACGCCTTCAAGTCGATATTTGCTGCATGTGCGCCTCTAGTAACTCTTGCGCTTGCTTCCGTGGCCAAACTTCTGCTGTAAACAGGAAAATATGATCCATAAAACTTGGGTACCACCAAAGTGCGTTATTAAATAACGATCGGCAAAGCTTCTTTTTTCTTTACTTGCACTGTTTTTTTTTTTTTTGAACGAGAATTCGATATAGGTTACTTCAAGTTCTTGCGTTGCGTCAAGGGTTATAATATTTTAAGCCCCATCCTGTTTCTTAAACTTTACACTCGGAATAAAGTCCATGCTTATGGAATTTAACGAATGTATCGTGTATATATTTTTCGTTCCCGGAGATATGTATATAAACTTAGATACAAAGCCGGTGTATATTTAAAATTAACGTAGCTTCTCGAGGAGAAATTATGCAATATAAAGATATTCATTTTACATAATCCAGCGAATCTAAAAATGCACACTTATATTGAAAAACAAATCTGTGTTAATATAATTTAAATTCTTTAGAGCGAAGGACAAAAACAAAGAGTTTGAAACATATTTCATTGCTGGATCAGCCCTCATTTAAAACATTTGTTTTATAAGCACGTGTTATGGACTTCCAAAGAGTAATGATTTTCAATAGATAATATACTCGGAGCAACCTTAGAAATACGCATTTGTTTTCGTTTTTTTTAAACCAAATTTGTGATTTTTTTTATTACAATTAACGTATTGTGTTTAAGGTATCTATTTGTCTTGCGATTTCGAGTTTGGCGACACTCTACTGGTACGTTGATACATACGATAAGAATACTAATCAAATACAATTTGTCACAAATAACCATAAAGGTTCCCCCTTTTCCAAACCATATAGCACGAAGACAACCAACAAATGAAAGAAATGGTTTTTGTTTTGCTTTCCTATGCTCCATTCAAACTGCTGCTCGTTAGTGCAACTTCCGTCCCACTTGCCATTCATATTATCAATCCCTGCTCATAACATGAAAGAATGGCAATACAAAATATTCAAAAGCAATAACCATTGCTGGCAAGCTAAGCAACGCTGGGAATTGGACACAATTACCCTCTCATAAATAGATAAAAGAGGAGATGACTCAAATGGTTCTTATTTTTAACTAGGCTTAGCTTAAGCCAGCTCGCGTGTTTATTAATGTTATCATTATCATTTCGTAAACTCCTGGGAAGTCGGGTCAATTCGACCCTTCTAGTTTCTATTTTTCCCGGATGCAAAAGCACCTGAGCGTCCCGCTCACTAAACTCGGTGTAGGAGCTTGATGTGACTCGCTTTTTGTAACTTTGCAATTAAGTATCGACTTTCGCTCATTTAAACGAAGCTCTAAATAGTGTACCTAAACAAAACGCTATGCACTGCTTTCCCGCCGCACAAAGTTCTCTGGCGTTTCTGCACGGGCTTTGTTGCACGCCTACTGTTGCTGTAATGCGCATTTCCCTCTGTTTCCCTCTCCATTATGGCATGCCGTGTGTTTCCTTGTGTTTGCTCTGTCCTTGTGCTGCCAGAAGTGTATAAGACTGAGGTTCGATGTTAACGTAAGTAACGACCTCAATTTATATAGTTACGGGGTTATAGTCACTAGAGTTTCACAGTTATTGGCCCCGTTTTTTTAAGTGCTAATAGGGTGTTTTTCTATATTTTACAAAACTGTTTTTTTTTTAAAACAGCTGTGAAACATACAGCAATATGAATTGCGCAGGGGCGTTATACGACCAAGAGGACATAATATAGAGAGAGAATGCTTAATATAGGTAAATTATATATACCTGAAAAAAATCTATTAGGGCAAATAAATGTACGATTCCAAATAAAAACTCGCTGAGTGTCATCGAAAATCACTAAATCGGTCCACTTGAGAAAAATGCAAGGTGCGTGGGAGGCTCAGCGGTGCGCCAAAGTTACCATTTGGGTAACCGTCGGGATGCTTGTGGTGAGTAAACGTGAATGATGATCGAGAAACGGGTAAACCGTGCGGGCGCCCTTTCGCACCACTAGCTTTGCACCTGTTGCACGTGTGGTGACTTTTGGGGCACCAACACTCTTCCCACCCGCGCCAAATCTTTCTATAATATACTCTAGTCGTTTTCGATGACGCTTAGAAGGTTTCGACTCGGAATGATATATTTGTCTCGGTTAATTCGGAGGTTAATTAACGAAAATTAATAAAATAACCGACTTATCGTGGCGAATATTTTCCTATATATTGACCACCAGGTCCTATAACTCTGCTGCGCAAACCGCAATAATGCAGTTTCATGGAGTTTTTTGTTTGTTGTACACAAGAGTGTAAGATTAAAAAAACAAAACAAATCACTGTATACGCCGCATTTATAGATATCGCTTGTTTATACATTTGTATTGTATGTCTATAACAGGCTTTGACAATATTTGAGGATGACTTAATTTATTACGGGTCGACAAGTGCACTACAAGTTTCATATAGACCTGCAATGAAGTGCATAATTTTGTTTGTCTCGTGTGTAAATGGTAGCATATCAATAAACGTCCCGTGCGTCGATTTTCCCTCATATCATTCGATAAGCCAATCGCTGCGAGTTACTAATACATCTGCGTTACGTGCTTTTGTAGAGCTGGTTGGTTCATGCTTGTTAATGCCGATAGCTGAATTCTGATGAGGCACGAATGTAAACGTCTGCATAAATACAGCGGTGATTGTGTCCACTACTTTACTATAACAGAATTCATAAAATTACGAGCCTGAAAAAAAGGAGCTTTGTCAATGACATGGCAAAAAACATGTTCAGACCTAGAAATGAACTTTGCGTTCTGACGCTAAGCATGCGGTAGAGGCTCGAAACGCGGACGCGCTATGCTTACGGAGACTTAACGTTTCGGTCTCGACATATATACATATTTGTCCTTGTCATTCGCCCAACTTCTCGGTAGAAGGCGATAGTCACTTACCCACTGTCATTCTAGCTCAAAACGCTAAAAAGAATGGATGGCAGCGGACATTTTTGAGTGCAAATGTGAGAAAATCGACGCACGGGAAATTTGAAGGATGTAAAATGCATAGCCCTATACTGGCGGCCAGCTATAATCTGCGGTCAACATCGCAATTACCATTCTATGCACAGGTCGGTTTCTAACGGCTAGTGTTATTTTTTTTCGTGTGCATGGTAGAATTGAAGATTGTAATGAACACAAAAAAGTAAAAAAATACAAAAAACAGAGGGTGCATAGAATGTGCAGATATGTTATAAAAAGCTCAATATGTTGTTTCTCTTTCGTTTCCTTTTGAGTCTCTTTTATTTGGAAGGACTTTACATTGCCAGCCATTAATTAAGTATTCTTGTACAGTTAAGCGTACAATAATACTTAATTAGTGGTTGGCATTTCAAATTCATCCCTATCAATTGGCAATAGCCTTTCTGGTATATTACTGCATACAGACATTTGATAAATATTAAATTCCGTTGAACTATTTCCCGCAAAATGGAACCAAGTTGTCGAAAGTCAGGTACCCCTTGTAGAATACTTTGAGAGTTCTGGATGGTCTGCTTTCACGTAAAGCCCTTCGAAAAGCACATCGCCGCAATTGATGAAGGGGGCTCGCCGAACTACGAGGCTAAAATAGCTCCAGACCTAACAAAGAAAAAGCAGTCTTCTATGGAAAACTGAGCAAGACGTTTCGCTTGAGTACGTAATGTTGAATGTGCTGAGTTTTTCTTTTCTTTTAAGGGGAAAGGGGGGAAAGGGTGAAACATGTTTTCAGCCTTGTCATTCTCCGAGTTCCCTTCGTAGATTGCCGGCGATTGGTTCTCCCAGTGTTTACGGGAGAGTAGACGCAACCGAGTTTATAGAGTGAAGGATACCCGACTTTACATCGGCGTTTTAAGATCAGCTGCTTTACACAGTCTAGGACATTTCAGAGTCGCTGCCACACAAGAGACAAACGTGTTGGTCCGTAAAAAAATAATGCCGAAAAGCAACAGCGTCCTTACTTTTTTAAAAATGTTATATGCATATATGGGAGCAGCGTTCCTTCCGTCTTTCCACAGGTTATTACACCCACCCTCGTACACTGGTATAAACGCCGTGGCGACATTCGTAAAACATTACGCAGCGTCACAATTAACCAAAAACTGAGGCAGGAGTTGTCGTTGAACAAGCCTAACAGCTAGAATTTTAAACACTGGTTATAAATAGAAACCAAAACATTAGAAGCGCCTCAAAATATTAAACCTATGTTATGTACACTGACAAAATCCGTTGTTTTTGCAGAGCACTTTGGTGAGCGAATCGCTGGAGGTTGTGGGTGGAGCTCGGAGGATGAAGAAAAGGAAAATATGTTCTAGGCCCAACAAACAGTCGGCACATACAAATGTCCGATCCGTTACAGTCAATGTAATGCACAAACTTAGTTTTTCAGGTCTAAACATTTTTAGCCTCGTAATTTACTAAGCTTCCGCCACATCTCCATGGTGCTCTGCGGGGAAGTAGACATTCCGGATACCTTAAAGTGTTGGAAACATTTATCCTAACAACAATAAAATCTTTACTTTGATCATGATTTTCACCTCTTTTGAGCGGAAGGAACACTCCCGCGAACATATCGTTTATCTTAGCACAAAGTTACCACAAATAGAGCTGTTAGAAAGAGGCCTCATCTTAAGGTGTAAACATTACGTCTCGTGGAACAATATAAGGCAACTTACATACTGCGAAATTTCGGTAAAACTGGACGTCTATTGCAACCATATGGCACTGTTGTTGTCCTGGACGAAGTGCGGTTCCAACACTGTTGTCGCCATGATGTTCGCGATGTTTCCGAGGTATTTGTAAGCATATACTATGGACTAGGGGTAGATAAAACTGTTTGCGTTTTGTGCGTATAATTACAATATATAATCTAACAGTGGGTTTTATTCGCTCGCGTACAGGAACTTATTTCGCCTGCATCATGATCATGGTAGCGTTCTCTGTGGTCATGACAGTGGTGGTGCTCAACTACCATCATCGAAATCAAGAAACAACCGAAATGCCTGCTGTGGTAAGTTCTGAAATTCTGGTTCTCGTATATTGGACGTACATCACATTAAAGTAGGTACATGGGTTACCTTGTACGAACAACGTATAGCCTACTTGAGAAATGAATGATATCCAGCGGAAGAACCTTCAACATTGACCTAGCCTCACTAACATTCCTGAAATTATTACCTAAATAAAAAACACACTGTAGCTGATGGTACCAACAAAATCACTGTAAAAAACAGATGGGTTATGAAAGAGGGCTCTCATAAAACGATGATGAAAACGTATTTAAAGCCCTTGTGACCATCTCAGTAATTTTCAATAAAAAAAAATCCGTGGCTTTAGTAGCAGGTTCAAATCACTGCGGGGGTGCTCACTGCGGGGGTGCCCGCTATCTAATAATTTTCCAGTGGTGAAGATTTCAGTGAAATATAAGAGAATTCTAATTTGTCTAAGCTGTTCCTCAGGCTTTCGCCGGGGGTGCGGCTGATTTGATTCGTTGGTTTAAATATAAAGCCATAACATCTTCTTTCATTTCTGTTTCAACACAGTAAATATAAAAACATTGCTCGCAGCACCACGCGAAACTCAATTCTTAATTTGTAGTCCACGTAAGTTGTGCACTAAAGTTATTTTTATTGCTTCGTACTCGTGTCAGTGTTAAGCGAAGTAACCAAACAAAATAGACCCTAACGTACATTATAAAAACATCTGGTCGTAAAAGAACTATTACTGGTTCTTCTGCTTGTTCATATTTGGCACCCAAAAAAGTTATTTTAAGCACCCCTAAAAGGGGTATTTCGGGAAGAAGCAATAATAGCTCCCTTACAGCTTCTTTTTTGATGCGAAAGACGTCTTCATCGCCCAGTTGCCTTTCTAGTGCGCCAGGGGGCGATAGTGCTTGAAACGAAACCATTTTTCACGAGCTGAAAAAGATGTTGGAGCTTCGAAAAACCTTTCAAGAACAAATTTTTTAGAGTGTACACAAAAAAAAAAAAAAAAAATCTCGTTTATGAAGAGCCTTCGACGCCTCAAGAACTCTTTCAGCTCGTGAAGAACGGTTCGGCCTCAGGCACTATCGCCGCCTGGCGTACTACAAAGGCAACTGGGCGATGAAGAACCTTTTCGCATCAAAAAAGTAGCTGAAAAGTACCCCTTATAGGTACTTCACAAGGCACCCTTTGAGGGGGTGCATAAAATAATATCTTTTTAGGATGAAAAATAGAAACAAGCAGAACCCCTAAGGGTTTTTTTACGACTCGATTTTTTTGGTGTAGGTTACTAACGGGTGGTAACTATTGTCAACTTTGTGGTTCTCTTTCAAGTTTATATTTTAGAGCCGTTCGTACCAAAACGCTTACGTAAGCAGATCGGCGCCTCCTAAGAAAATTCGAAAGTTTTAGTTGTACTCGTGTAAGACGAACAAATTAAATAGTGATTTTTGATTTTTGATTATGGAGTAGTTGGTACTTTATGTAGATGGTTGGATGGTTTGAAATACGCGGTATAAGGGATTGTTTATGTTATTTTTTTGTTTGTTTGTATGCGTGTGTGTGTGTGTGTGTGTGTGTGTGTGTGTGTGTGTGCGTCGGTGTGTGTGTGTGTGTGCGTGCATTCCTTTGCGTTCAATAGATATTCGTTGAGCCCAAAGAATTATTTGATGACAGAGCCTATAAAACAGGTTATTTTTTCGGACCACTCATTCGCCATTTGCAAAAATATATTGAAACAGAACATAGTAGGCTCCTGAACGGAATGGATCGGTTGCCCCAACGGATGAATCATTACGGTTGACCCACTGGAGGTCTGGTGGTGGTGGTGCAGTGTCTTCGTTGGGAAATATTTTTCAGTGCATGGCGGAAAATGTAGAGAACAGAGGCGTCTAAGGAAGGCGGTAAAACACATATAAAAAACGAATAATAATAGATCAAAATATTTCCGCACCTACGCCGGAGTTATTCATCACTTCGGTAGCCAAGCTGGTTAAACACAGGCTCCAGTTCTTACTCAAATAACTACCAAAAACGGCACTCAGTCTCAACTATTTGTCAGCCCGCCACTCGCAAAAGTGATGGTAAAAGAGACAGTGAACAGCGGTTACGACATCCGATTCCGCATAGCTTGATCATGAATTGCTTTTACATAGTTAGGATGAGCTGAAGGTCCAGTCCGGTATGATCTCGTTTGGCCTTTTATTACAGCGTCACCAATTTGTCTTGGAATGCAATAATGACGTTGGTTTATTCATCTTTTCCCGATAGCTTCACAATTAACATGGTGTAACAAACACGTTTCGGCAATGAAACTCTCCCCTCATCATGGCAGAAACGCGGACAGTTATAGTTCATAGCAAACATCGAGTTAGGACTGAACCATCGAAGAGCGCGCTACAATAAAGGTGCCAAAAAAAAACAACGAAACATTGTCCCAGCAGGGTAGAAAGCTGGGCTAGTTGGTAGTGGTTCATGATGAAATAAAAGGTGCACAAAACGCGAGGACAAAAAAGGCGACACGTACGTGAGACGAGCGCTTGTCTGTAGTACGTGTCCTCTTTTTATCTAGGTTTTTTTTTTCGCTTTTTATTTCATCATGAAACATCATCGCAGCGCACGCTTCGTCGGAGTGGCTGCCGAAGCGTACGCTGCTATTTCAGCTTGCGAATGAACGTATACCACACAGATGCATGTGGTTATGACCACGGTGGATGAAGAGACCAGTAGATGAACGACTTCAGCTTGCCTGGGTGCAAGCGCGGTGAAAGTTTAATCGCGTTTCTCGCAAACGCCGTGAGATGACGCAACATGTCCAGAGCAGAGGTGGCAGTGTTGAAATTACGGTAATTAAGTTACAGTAATAGTTATGCAGTAATGAGTAGTGTAATACATTACATATGTGTAGTTTTTGTAAGGTAATAAATTACTCTGGCGCCGTAATGGTAATGAATATTCGAAATTAGATTTTTGTTTGTTTCAGGTATATTCTTGAGCGCATACAAAAAGCCAAAAGAAACTTCTTTAAAAAAAAAAAAAAAAAAAACACAGATAACGCAAGATTAGGGGGGGGGGTGAGGGAAAAATATATATCAAGAGAAAGGTACTATGTGACTGATGGACACGATTGATGAACGGAAAAAAGAAAGCACTATGCCAATTGGAAGCTTTGAAGTGTTGGTGAAGCACACTAAAACACACAATAGTAAAAAAAAGCAAAAAAAAAAAAAAAAGCAAGCTGGAGCAGCTACGAGAATTTAGTGGGGCAACCCTCGTTCCCGAAACAGCTACGTCGCCTCTATCGCAAGGCTGGCCTCCCCTCCCCAAACCAACCCCCCCCCCCCCCCCCAAAAAAAAAAAAAAAAAAAAAAAATCCAGAATTTTTTTTTTTTTCGGAAAGGAGGTAAGTGCAGGAATGGAGGCTGAGGCCGAGGAGTTTCAAGATAGATCAACTACCAACGAGGCATTTGGTTAACTTTCACCCCCCCCCCCCCCCCCCAAAAAAAAAATCAACATGTTTTCCTGTTTCTTTTTTTTACATCAAATTTGGGCAGCTGCTGGTCTCTTGTTCGCTTCGGTATCGTGGGGGTAGACAAAACAAATCAGGCAACCGTATCTATTCCACCTGTCCTAAACGTCCAGGCATAGCGAATAAGTAAATCACCTAAAGTTTTGGAATAACCCTAGTAATTGTCAGCCATACCTCTAGCCTCACAAGCTTACCTCCCTTTCCTCGCGATCAGCTTCGCTGCTCTTTAAACCCGGTGTGACAAGCTTCAAACTGCGGCTTATGGAGATAGAATATTTCTATTGTGAACATAATGATCTCTAGCAAGAAAGTATCAATTGCCCATTTTTGTATGAGAGTTATAATGTATGTCCTGACTTTTTCTAAGTAATTTGAAATTGTAATTTATTACTTGTCTTCTGTGGTGATTTCTAATGTAATTCACAACATTTCAGCCGTATCATTTAGAGCGGTTAGTGATGCGACGTACTTGAAAGATAACAGTAACTTGGGGCCAGCTCTGGCCCAGAGGCATCTTAACGGGCACCAGGGGCGCCGATGGGAGCCACTCGAGGAACTGTTCCTATTCGAGCGCGCTTTCAAGGGTTCGCCGCCCGCGACCGCGCCTGTGCAAAGGCTCCTATATCGATAGTGCCCCCTGCCGGAGATGAGCGAAGCACCAGCAAACTTTGGCCGCCTCGAAGGGCTTTTCTCTCCTTCCAGCGTGATCATGCCTATGTAGAAGCTGGCTGAACAAAAAATAGTAGCAAAGATGTGCTTATAAATGTTCGAGAGATTAATCGGAGAATTAAACATCGCCAGCAAGAGCCGATATGACGGTCTGTATACGTGCAAAGGCACGGCAGGCGCATCGGGCCAATCGGGCCCCAGTTGGACACGCTCGGAACTTTTCTTTCGCACGCGGCCAGATGGAGCCAAAAGGAAGGGACCTCCTTTCGCCGAACGTTACTTGAACGCTTCGTCGAATAAACTGCCATTAGCTAAATGTCTTTTGCTCGCAATAATATCTCCACGGCAGAAAAGGAAAAGCGACCGCACTGCGTTTTTTTACAGATCAAGACAGTTTTCCTGGTTTGGCTTCCTTGGCTGCTACGTATGGAGCCTCCCGGCCAGAAGCCAGGCCGTCGAAGCCTTTTCCTGAACAGCAAGATGAAGGAGTTCGAGCTCAAGGAGAGGTCCTCGCGGAGCCTGCTGGCCAACGTGCTGGACATCGACGACGACTTCCGCACGGCCAACAGCTCATCGGCGGCCATGTTGGGCGGCCACACCGACTGCCGCTCGGCGGCCGGCGCCCGCTCCTACCTCGGTCAGGACATGGGGCCAGCCGGAGGAGCGTCCACAGTTCACGCCTGCGTCCACTCGTCCAGGGAGCTAAACTCGATCCTGCGAGAACTGCGGTTCATCACGAGCCGCATGCGCAAAGACGAGGAAGAGAAGGAGATCGTCGGCGAGTGGAAGTTCGCTGCTATGGTCGTCGATCGCGTGTGCCTCATCGTGTTCTCGGGCTTCACCATCATCTCCACGTGCGCGTGCCTTTTCTCGGCACCGCACTTGGTCGCGTAGCTACCGCGGGAGCTGAAGGCGGCTCGTCGCAGCGTGTTCCTTCGCGGCCCGCGTCGCAGCGTCACCTTCCCTCCCCGCCCCTCTTTCTCTCTTCCAGACGTCGCTAGGGTTCAACGGTCTTCTGACAACAGCGGTCAGGACGGCAGCGCCGCAGCGTCGGTAACGGGCTCTCGGAGAAAGCGCCTGCTGCGTCCGACTCCTGCACTGCCATTCAGGCCCCGTGTCCAGTTCGTCGCAGGGAACTACGCGTATTTTGATCCTTTTCGTGCTATAAAATTTTTCGATAAACGGGGGAAGGGGAAATGTCCCCCAAAAGAAAAAAAAGCGGTGAAGAACGCAAGAAGCAAACGAGTTTACAGCGTGCGGCTTGGCCTGGAGCGAAGAAAAAAAAAACATTCTACAAAAGGTGCTAAGAGAGCTGTGGGTATCGAAGACCGCCGTGACAATGTGTTGCTTCCAAATAATATTAACAGCGGTCTACAAGAGCTGATTATTCGAAGAATATGGAGTGGCTGAAGCTGAAGCGAAAATGTACAGCAGAGACAACAACCTACAGAAGGTGGCGGAAGAGTTGTGTGAATTTTAGCGTTTGTGTGAATTTTAGGAAACTGGGACTAGTCGACGGTAGCTCTTAGCGTTTAAAGCGCGCGGCGGCAGTGGTAAGAGCATTCCATGAACTATACGTCATAGTGTTAGGCAGTTTAGAAAAACTAGTCTTAGTCGTGTTTTTTTTTTTTTTAATTTATTTCTTTCGACTTGCCCGAGTTATCTACATTTACAAACATCGTTTAGGTGTCTGAATAAATGTCAATGAGGGTTACAAGCGGGTTTAACAGTGCTATACAATACTGCGCAGTAGTTCTCCCCACCACCAGTGCCAATACTTGGTCGCGCATGTAGATCGACCTTTCTTCACTAACAGCTCCACACAACAGCACGGCAGTTTACGTTTAATCTTGGCTTGTAAATTAGGGTTACTGCACCACGCATTCATCCCGACTGGTCTGTCTATTCGAGCGTTCTACTATCGCCAACTCGACCCTCCTCTTTTATGAGGGCACATCCTGCGTTTTGTGGTGTGGAAGCAAATGAACTCCGAGACTGCAAGGAACTGTGTTGGCGCAATCAATAAAGACGTTCCAGCAACGCCATCCTGGTCAAGGACTCGGAACAGAGTGTTCTCCTGGGTGCGCCTTCGGCATTCAATCAACTTCGAAGAGGAGGTGTTGCGATTGTGCGTGCTAATCAAACTCTTTTCATTTAGGATCCTTGACACTTTTCGACTGATACGCGAATGATGCTTGCAATTTTTTTTTTCTGCAATCGCCAAGTTTCTTTTTATTCTTTGAACAGGAATTGTTTGCTTTCAAGCCTGTTGAGACCAGCAAAATATTCTGCAGCCGCTGGTAGGAAATTGATAAATATTAGGTGGAATTTCTCGCGTGATGTGTTAGGACCTAAGTTATTAACATATCGCGCAGAAGACATAAGTTAGGGCCAAAAGGACCTAACAGCTATGTTCAGATATTGTTTGAAATCCTTGTTTTGTGACAAATAGTATCAATGTGGACAGAACAGCGACACGAATTTCTACCCTATATCAATTCAAAAACATTAACTCTCCCATGGAGCGAAGACAGTGTTGACTGCAACCCTCCTTGGCAGAAATACGACACTCACAAGCGGAATTAGGATTGGCTACGACGCTTCATATCAGATGCTTCTTAACGGAAGCCGTCCGGGCGCTCAAGGTCAAAGCTCAAAAATAAAACACAAAGGAAAGCACAGCAACGCAGATGCATCGTCACGGAAGCCGTGGAGCCCGAGGCGGCGCCACGACTGCGCAGTGTGAGAGCGTGATGTCACTAACGGTGCGCCATGTGAAAAAGGAAGAGGTGGCGCGCTGCATGTAGGAAAAAACACGTTAGCTGTCTTAAGTGTGCCGAATTTATTGCTTGATGGTCAGGGTGTAGAATGGCTCCTGTAAAACCCTTCATTGTGTTCTATGCCATGCCCAATGTTTACTGACAAATATTTTAAACACACCCATCTCCCAAACCAATTTGAAAAAAAAAAATCAACGACTTTGTAACGCAACTAATGCATAAGGCTTTATTTGTGCCAACTAATAAAGCCAGGAAGCACATTACTCATACTTGTTTGCTGACAAATCGGTAATTGACATTTTATAACGTTTACACGTGAAATATACGTTATTCAAAGCGACCAATACAACCAGACTACTCGAAAAACAAAAGAAACTCGTGAAATGTTTTTTTTTTTTTTTGTACATACACATTGCCCATTTTATGTGATAACCATGAAATAAGCTGGTTGCCAAGAGACAACCACACCAACCCAACAAAGCAAGGTCATCCCCACAAACGCAGTTAAAGTTCCTCGTTAAGCCAGATATTCAACTACTGTGTTGTTAAGTTTTAAATGTCGCTAAAGATTAAAATAAAAAAAAATCCAAAGTTTTTTCGACAATATATAACGCACGTACTCGTTGCGTCTTCGGATGCTTCTAACATTCGGCTACACTCACTTCGCGTTCATTCCAGCTGGAAAATTAATACCCCGCTGAAGTCACTGATACCTTATTAAACGCAGAACTTTGTTTTGTGATCGATTTTAAGAATTCTTGCTCTGTGAAAGTTTTTGTCGGCTAATGCCACAGTCTGATCGGCTGCTGGACGAAAATAAGATGTACAGGGCTCGGCACGTCCCGCGCTCCTGAAACAATCAGTGACTGGAGGAAATGATAATTTTCAATTAGTGGTAATGGGCGGTATTTTTACCAACTTTAGATTTCGCTGTAGCGCATGTCCTCCTAAGTTATTCATATAAAAGTGTTATAGAAATGAAGTACTCAGTGCCAAAAACAGTCTGATGCCAACGGGTTGGGTAAATGAAGAGCGTACCAAGTTTAGGGTTTTAAATATTTAAATCTCGAGAAAGATACGTTGTTTGGATGAGGCGCGCGCTAAAAATTTAAGAAATATCCAAGGGATCGGTCGGAAGTGAAGTCGTTCCGCGCATGTATATTTACGCACATTTCAGCTCCTTTACCAGCGTGTGTGATGCTAAAACAAAGTATCAAAATTAAAATAACTTTACGGAAACTTGTTGTATTTCCCTGAAATTATTGTGTAGCCCTCCCATCTCAGGCGTTTAGAGCGAAGAAAAAGAAAACAATGTTTTCTTTTTTATGAAGTACACTTCACTATACACTTGTTCTTTTTTTCGTTTCTGGAGGTGGCACACAATTATTATGAAATTTAAATTGATTGAGAAGACTGTGAATCTTATATACAAACATCTCTTACGGCAATAAAATACAGCTCTCCTAGAGTGAGCTGTTCGTCGAAACACGCTCAGACACCCACTAAGATGCGCTCCTTCGTAATTAGCACAAACAGGTACGACGACAAAAGTTTGAAAGCGGCCGCCTTCATTCTCGCTGTCGTAAAATAGATGAACCGTGCGTACCAAGCTTCTTAAATAACACCAGGTGCGAATGCTTGAAAAGGATGAGCTTACGATCTTTACAGTTATCATAACTGAAGTCTTAATCTGTCAGACAACTGATTCTTGAAGCGCATCTTACCCTCACAAACATGTCCGCTCTTCTCGGGAGTCTTCGACGATATCTATTATATGCTGGTTCCTTGAGGCCAAATTTAGCTCATTCATTTGTTTATGTGTCTGCTCTTTTTCACACGCAAAAAAAAAAGAGATGTGTCAGTGTGTTGTGCCCATGTATGTCAAGCGCAGAGTGTGAAGTTGCTCTTCCTTCAGTATGTTGAATCATCGGGAAGAATTTCTTTTTGTTCGTGAATTCGTGAGTGAAATAAGATTGTTCGATAATCCCCAATTTCTTGTACCAAGTGCCTTAGTGCTCTTTCTGTGTATACGTCCTTGAGAATTCAACATTCTTAACATTTCTGCCCACAAAAAGAAAAGAAAATACGAGTGTCATGACGATGTACTTGTTGACGTTGCTTTATTGGCTTCGTCCGATCATGTAACGTCGGCTGTGCTCGTACTTGGCGTGGAACAGAGTGTAGAATCCCACGAGCCACGGGGAGACCTGGTGAACGTTCACGAGGATGGCAGCGTACGGTCCCTATATGGAGCGCAAGTTCGTCCGCTTCTTTTTGCGTAAGGGGGTTGCGACGATGTCGGGGAACGCCAAACTCTTATTATTGGCTAGATGAAGAAAAAAAAAGAGTCGGTAGACCTCGAGGTTTCTGGCATTGGGGTCTACCCGCTGCCCTTTCGATCAAAGCCAATCGACGCTCGGCGTGGTACTAACGTCACCGCCACTCCCGAGCAAGAAGCAGACGAACTTGCGTTTCGCATAGTCATCGACAGTATAAGAAACGTAGGGCGAGGCTTCCGTGTCTATGCTTTTTGTACGAGTTCTTTTTTATGCGTTCCTATCGGATAGTGCTGCAACTTCCTTGACCAAGGAGCGACACCGTGACACGATCGGGGACGGCGCGACGCCCTGCATTTTTTGAGTTGTCGGCGACTGTGGTATGGTAAACGTGCCCGTAAAACTTCATTTTGTCTATTCGGCGTGTGAGGAGTAAGTTGTGGTGCCAACTAGAAGTTGCCAAGTGTATACTTTGGTACACGTCTTAGGAGGGCTGTGCGTGTTTTACAGTTGTTAAGATTATCGCTAGTGCTAGGTGTGCCAAAAAAGATGTTAGCTAAGGAGTCATCGATGAATGGGTGATACAAGCGCTTCGGAGGATGGCCGCTAAAGAGTCAGATCCTCAGATATATCTGCTCCCTGTAAGTGTTACGTGCGAGTGCGTGTCCTCTAGTCACGTTGAGAAACAAATGTCCTTGATCTGATATCAGCCAAGATGCACTGTCATGTTGTCAGCTCCACGCGAACGGTGAACGTGAACATAATGCAGAGTCAGAATCCACGCGGCTTGCTTTATTGTTTCTAAATCAAAACCTACGTAGTTCTCTGCCGATTGTAAGCGGTAAAAATAGGCACTTTTGTTTTTTCTTCTTATTAATTTTCACACAAAGGCTTCTTCAGCTTTGTCTCACCCTGCACAAATGGACGACTTGTGGAACTCGATTGTCTTTTTTCCTTGTGCCTAAGTGAGATTTAAAA